CATTCTTTATAGTTTATCCAAAGTTGACTAAACATTGGCCTCCACTAGATTACCTCATAGGAAAATATTTGCTATAGTGGCAACGCTGAGCAGGCGGGTGGGCAAACTCAGTTATTATTCGTTAAATTGTTATCAGGATGCTGCTGCTGCCCCTCTCCTGGTTCTTTTACCTCGCGACACCCACGTGACGATATGGGGTAGTATTATATTCTTACATCGCCTCTTCGCGGATACTGCATAAATACACTGCATGCATACGTCGTTATAATATTTTACGTTCAATTTACAGCAAGTAAACAGGCATCGTAAATCGATGTTGAGATAAATTTGTGTGCATTCTTGACGATACAACAAATAAAAATTAAAGTTTACATAAACGTTCACATCAAACTACATTTAGTTTTTTTAAAAGTTTTTCACCAATAAATCCAATAACTACCTATACGGTGGACCGGTTGCCTAGTTTTACCAGGGGTCCACCATCTTTTGGTATTATAGTAAAAAATGTTTTTCTAATCTTATCAAAATATTTCTTGTGCTAAGGCACTTAACATTTTTATGTGCGTCTTTATCATAAGCTGTTAAATTCTATTCTTTTTTCTTATATATTATTTACTAAAGTACAAGTAGTTATTTCTTAAAACTAGTTCCTAAAGGTAAATAATGATAATTAATATTAAAATATGATAATAATTAATAACGAAATACTAAACTGTATATAATAAATACAAATGTTCTTGGTTTCGATTATTTAAAGTAAAAAGTAACGTGTAATTAAATTCCCATTAGGTACTGCCCACTGGCCTCATCTCGCGAGAAAGAGCGTTTTGAAGTAGTACTGTTTCCGCCCTGTTGCGTTGCCGTAACGTCCGTCGCGGGTTTTAGATTACTCCGAAATATTTTTTTTTAATTAACTGGCTTTACGGTTCTGGTTTCTAGACCTTCTGAGTCTATCCTTTTATTCCTGGAATCTTCATTTCATGTTATTTTTCTTCACAATATGCTGATGCGTCACATCGCAAAGCCCTTGCGAGATTTTGACGACAGCTCAACTAAGCGGACAGTTGATGACGACAGCCACTCAAGTTCATGAGGCGCCCAAGCGATCAAAATAACTTGGATTTTAAATCAACATCAAAGCACTTGTTTCGTCGTTTTCTCTAATAGTTCACACGCGCGGACACTTAATTCACAAAATCGCATCATCATCATCAATCACATTTTACGAATCAAAATCCAATTCAAACCATTATTCAAGCGACAAAACAGGTGCGAGAATCCGTCTACGGCCAAGTTCCCGCCAAAAACTCCTTCGAAATATTTTAAATTCTCCTACACAGATATGATTACGATGATTAATTAATAAAAATAATTAACAATTTAAGTGGTTTTGATATGGATCGAGGTAGGGTTCCTCACGTTCTATTAAAATTAAGGCCAGTGCCCAGCGAGGTATAAACGTATATAGTAATAGTTCACTGATCTTCTGCTAAATTTGGATTTCTAATAATAGAACCTATTGCAAATTTAAACAGGAAGTAAATAAATAATGTCTGGAAAACTGTATTGTTAACAAAATGTTTTATGCCTATGTAAGTATATTGGTTGTCTTTATTTTTTTAGCTTACCTATAATATTTTCAATATTTATTTTATCTTTATCTATCTTTCTACCTTATTTACTATCAACATTATTAATAAAATCGAAATCGTATACATATCTTAATTATAGCTATTGATTTAGGCACATTTCTCATTTTATTAATCATTGTTCAACAATTTGACTTTCAGGTACTTAATTTGAAAATAAACATAAATACGTGATTATTACCAGGTGCTCCTTTTAGTAGAGATGGGCCGAATATTCGTTTTATATTCGGTATTCGGCAGCTTTACCGAATATTCGTATTCGGCCGAATATTCGGATAAATCACCGAATATTCGGTAAAATGGTACTCAAAGTGTCCTCTGTATTGGAATGTACGAATTGAGTAATGCCATGGCTTTAATAATTTTACTGTTGGAAGTTTATTTATTTGTGGGTTAAATCTACTTGTATGGCGTTATGTTTTTGAGGCACTGTATATTTATTTACAATTATAGCAAATAGAAAGATTGATAGAATTTTGTTTTGAATCAAAGAAACGTTACATTACTGTCGTCAGTTTCTCTAAAATAGGTCCAAATAGTAGATCTCCTGCCACTCATTTTCATCACATAGTTATCAATTTTCACTAACAATAACACAACAAAATACTTTTTTCTCACAAAAATAGTCAAAACATACGCATGTGCCGGCAATTTGCTCAGTACTGGATGATGCAATAACATGTCAGGTGTGGCGGGGGAGCAAGTGGCAGGGTCCTGCATTAATCCCGCGCGCTTTACTGTAACAAGTTTCGACATAAATTGGTTAGGTACCGAGGTAGTCCTGCCGAATAATGTTCGGCTGAATATTCGGTTCGGTAAAAATTATACCGAACTTTCGGTCGAGTAAAATCCATATTCGGCCCATCCCTACTTTTTAGTCTCTGCTTATTATAAATTTAAACCTAAATTTTTTAAAATCAATTAAGTTTAAATAGAAAAACCCGTGCGAAAACCTAAATAAACTTAATTTAAGAATATAGTTTTGCTGGAAATGTGGCTTTTTATTATGTATCTGCTTGTATCTGCTATACGACTATTTTTAATTGACATTTAAAATGTGTTCATATAAAATATAGACAGAACAAAGAAAGAAATGGTTTGATAGATAAAGGTGATCGATAGTACAGCAAGCAAACACAATACGAGTATGTATATAATACAAAATGTAACATAATACTGTCGAAAAGAACAGCCCGTTAGTTTTCAACGATGTAATAATAAACTATAAGTAGTTGACACTAATAAATTGGCAGTAATCCAACTGGACAAAAAATAAGAAAATAGGTACAACGTGACTTAATGTAAAACCACATTACATTTTTGATATAAAAGTAAGTAAGTAAATTCGTAAAGATATCATCGAAATATGCTCATTTATTGATTTAATTAGTATACAAAAAAAAATTCCTTATGAATTGTTATTTCTAGTTGTTTTTATTTTGTATTTGATTACATTCAGTGTTCACGTCATATGTTGCTGTCACTGTGACATTCTAATGTTTTTCGCACGGGTTATTCGACGATGATTTTGTTACGAATACGTTATTCGTTATGATCGATTCGAATTGTATTTGTGTATCTGTACGTGTTTGTTATATTTGTTTAAAAAATGATAAAATATGCTACAATTATAACTCTAATAACTCAATTTAACTTTGGCTCAAACAAAATACAAATAATGGACAGTGAAAATACTTCATCTGCGTTACATTACTGTGTTAAGTAGTTTTGCCAGCGTCAAGTACTTATTATGAAATATACATCATACGTCACAAAATCGCATCACATTTACGTATCAAAATTCATTTCAAACCGTTATTTACGAGGGCGATAATGAAAGTTTTTAGAAAATGGAACTCTTTGCCAATATTATTGTGTATGTATTTTATTAACTTGTCATTTCTGTCTGACTGATTTTGTTTTTTTATGTCTTTCGATTTCATGTAAGTCAACAAGAAAGTTATGATAGACTTAGATTGGTCTTTCACGATGAAGCCCTATCTCGTGCTACTGTTTACAACTGGTTTAATGAGTTTATACGTAGTCACACTAATCTCACCGATGATCTGCGTGAGGGATGGCCTTCTACGGCGACGACTGAAGATAACATCAGCGTTGTGCGGCGTATGATAGAGACTGACAAAAGAGTGACTTATCAGCATAGGTATCGGTATAAGTCAAGTGCACAAAATCCTCCATGAACATTTAGAGGTCAGGAAGCTTTGTGCCCAGTGGATACCTCATAATTTGACAGAGGCCCAAAAACTCCGTCGTGTTGATTGGTGTCGTAAAATGGTTCAAATATTTAACGGAGGTGACTCAAATGCTGTGTTCGACATACGGCTGATAAAAGCTAGATTTATTGTTATGATCCTGAAACTAAGAGACAGTCTGTTGTCTGGGTGTTTCCTTCCGAGGAGTTGCCAACTAAAGTGAAGAGAGGTCGAAGCGTGGGAAAAAAGATGGTAGCCTCGTTCTTCGAAAGGACAGGTTACTGCAGAATGATACACTATTAATTGTTTGCTACTTGTCTTGAAAAAGTTCAGGAGAAACGACCTTGTGGTAGGATCCTCCTTCACCACGACAACGCCTCGTCGCACACCGCTAAGCAAACAATCGATTACTTGGCGACGTCAGACGTAGAATTACTGGGTCACCCGCCCTATAGGCCCGACCTCACTATTTTCGATTTTTATTTATTTCCGAAAATAAAAGAAAAACTTCGCGGAAAACGTTTTATGGACGCCGAGGAAGCAGTGGCTGCGTTTCAAAATGCCGTAGAAGAGACGCCTGGGGACGAGTGGGCAAAGTGCTTTTCTCAGTGGTTCCATCGATGCAGCGATGTCTTAATGTACATGGATACTATTTTGAAAAGATATAATAAGTCTAATAACTTGCTGGCTTGTTCAGTTTTTGATTTTCCAAGAACTTTCAGTGTCACCCTCGTAAACTATAATAATACCTGAACTTAACCACCGATGGATTGCTGCTCCTGAGCAGTAGTCCATCGGTGGTTAAATTGCCACCAAAACTCCAGTGTTATTGTCTTAGAGACAAAATATCTGTCATTTGAATGGGATAGCGTCCGTTTAATGCAATTTGATTTGAGAGAACCGTGATATTAAAACATACTGTTGTCATATTTAAAAAGAATATAATACACACCTTTGTTAGATGTTGTGATATTTTTTGCGTAATATTGTTTTTCAGCCCCGACCAGCAGGGATCGTTAAATGATAACTATAAATTTCATCATTTCAATAATTTTTTAAGTAAATTAAATTAATTAGTAAATAGCAAGGCCTAATTATTATAATATAAAGTATTCTTCCTAAGTATAAAATAGTGTTTTTAAATATGATGTGTATTAAGTGAAACTTCGCCGGTGCTCTGCTGGTACAGCCGCTTCACGTCGTCGTGGGTCATTTGCGAAATAGTTGATATCTTCGTTACGTTGGCAATTGGTTTAACCTGTAACGATAAATCTTGTTTGGTTTTAATAGATTAAATATCAAGCTCATATTAGTACTAAGTTGTCCACCTTGATAGGTGGCTATTAGAAGTCATAAACACGTGTGTGTTGACTGTTGTCACTCTTAAAGACCAATATTTATTATAAACATTGGCGTATTAGACGAAGTAACTAATCGTCTATATGATGAATAGTGGCTACAGCATGTACAACAGCCAACATCAAACACAGCGCTTAAAGCCTGTTTTACGCTGAGGATTTAAGATGAAATACCTTTCAAACCGGAACACAACTGTCAGTACGGCTATTGGAACCGTATTTAGACCCGGTAGGTAACACTGTTTTCCAGAACCAGAACTCACCCGCGCCATTCTATGTTGGTATTAGTACATATCCAGATTCCTTATTCGATTTAAGCATTTTTTATACACGAAAATGTAACCTGTATTTAAACACGTACAGTGTACAGTCCTAGTAATTTGTACAAATTATTACTTCCATGGTACGCTCGAGACTTATATTTTATTAAAAATTAATTATTTTTCCTTATGAGTGGTCTTAGGAACACCACAATGTCAATGGCATTTAAATAGTTACATTAAAAAATTTATCACATATTTTCGATCCTTAGGGATCCTTAGGGTTGGAACTTATATGAGGCCACTCCGGAAGTATAACTTATTTAATAAAGAAATTGACGAAGATATCGCGTACCAAACATACTATAGTCAACCAAATCTAAGAAACACATTTTGACAGCTGTCAGACTTGTTGCACCAAGCATGCCAACCAAAAATATGGGAACGTATAATATTCGATTCTTAAAAAAATCGATATTAGAGTTGGTAATCATTTACAGTTTGGTTTGTATATAATATATATATATATACCAGAATAAATTAAAAACGGATAATTTAAAACACAAGATTTATCAATTTCTTCGAATTTGTTGTCACTGCTTATTTCTAGACACAGATATAAAATTTTGGATTGAAACTAAATTAAAAATAAATTTATACAATCATTTTCAGTACAACTCAACTAGAGCTATTGTTGTTTAGATTAATTACTAGTACCCGGTTGACCGAGCTTTGCTCGGTATTTTTCGCTCGGTTTTTTTTTAATTCGTGTGTTTTGGAAATTATATTTAGATACAAATTACATACTGATGAAATACGAATAATATTTTTTGATCTTAGCGACATAATAGAAAAAACTGAACTGGTTATTTGAATAAAAAATCATGAGTGCAATTTTAGTTTAATTTAAATTTTCGTGTTTTTAAAAATACTGAAAAAAGGGCTCGAAAAAATAGATTTTCTCAAAAAAGAAAGTAACTTGAAAAAAAAATTAAAAAAATCCGCTCGGTCCGGTCTGGGCTCGAACCATGGTATTACGATTTGTGACCGCCCAATATACCAATTAAGCTATTTGTAATTATTAATGAACTGTCAAAATTTACTTTAGTATTCTACTGATATTGTAACAGTTTTTCATTGCCTAAAACACGGACAAAAAGACATTTTCTAAAAATAAATCCTAGCTAGATCGATTTATTGCCCCCGAAACTCCCTGCACAAAAAATTTTATAAAAATCGTTGGAGCCGTTTCCGAGATTCCGATTATATGTATATATACAAGAATTGCTCGTTTAAAGGTGTAGGATTTGAATTTCAATGACGTAGTCAAAATTAATGTCTCTTTCAAAGTCATCCACAATAATTAATATTTTTGTTTTTTCTACCACTTTTGCCCAGTCATCCTTTGTGACATGGGCACATGCTTCAACGAATATAAAAGATACAGTTCAGAAAGTTAAAGCCGAGTCACACAATAAGAAGTATTCATAAACGCACCTTGTTGTTGGGGAAGAAGCCGTTGTGCACGACGCCGTTAGGAAGCGAACCATTCTGCTGTCGCGGCAGAGCCGCAGTGCGCTGCAATGTTGATTCTTCTGGAAAAAAGACCATATTTTATTTTTCCCTTCTTTCTTATTTTTTCTGCATTTATACCAACTTGGGTGTGGGCATCGTAGGTGAATCCACGAACTCATTTTGTTTTGTGTGTATCATAAGAGGCGAATTTAGAAAATGCGATAAAAATCTCAAGGCTTTTGATAGATTTCAAACGTGATAGAGCCTCGCTGCAGCTGTAATATTATACTTGTACCTCGAATGGGTCGGCTCGACCGGGGAAGAACCACGCTCTCACAGAATACCAGCGTAAAATAGCAGCTTAATGATGCTGTGTTTTGTTTTGATGCGTTCCATCTTAGTCCTCTGGGGTAACGACACATCTGCATTTTGATTCTTAATTAAAGAAAAATGCCTATGGGGACACAGCAACGGCTTCCCATCAGGTCAATTTGTAGTGTAGTGCTCCCACGTTAATATACTGTAGTGTTGAGGTAGAATAATGAGGCAGTATAATTAAACATCTAAAACAAACCACACGTCTCTCTTCATTGACACCTTTCATATATTACATGGCGACCCTGCGAGGCGGTGCGCTGCGACAATGCAAGCGCACCGCTGGGCCTAGTTAAAAGGTGGAAAGTAAAATACAAATACTACTAAATTACATAATGAATCTATTGATTAGTGAAACGATTGACAAACAAATATAACGGAATGGACGCAATACCGGACAAGACAAGAAAATTATAATATGACAAAAACGAGAAGAGGCCACAATAATATTTTTTTAGAAGCTGACCGAAAAATTTAAACTGGCAGATTAATTGAAAAGGGAAAGACTAGTAATATATAAGTCAATGGGAAAGAAGCAGTTGTATTCTAGCGAACATCACCCAGAAAATGTGAAAATTGAGCTGAAGAGTACAAAGATGAAATTGAGAGGTAACCTCGTACCATTGTAATTGTAATTTTATTTAAAACTTTATTTATTAATTTGAGATCATTTTTATTTTTTATATTCTTTTCGCTATTATTATTTTTAATTAAGTATTAAATATTCTGTATTTAATATACTTATGTTTAAATTTAAAGTATTTATCAGATAAGTCACGATTGTAATTTTTTTTTAAATAATTTATTACAGAAAAAAATAGCATAATGCAATAATTATAAATTAAGTTACATTTTAATCATTCATCTAGCACTTGATTTTATATTCACTTTTATTCATTTATAGTTTTATATTATTTTTATTACTGTTTCAAAACATGAATGAAATAAAATAATATGGTTTATCATTAATTAAATTTTAATATTTTGTGGTTAACATAACACTGATGCTACATTTCGTGTGATTCTTTTTTTTGTCGTAAATTTTATTTATACAATTTTAAAATGTCTTAAAAATCTCTATTATTATAAGTTATAATTATTTTTCTTTTCTTTTTCTATAGTTATTAAAAACCGTAAAGTAAGCTTAAAGTTATAAATGAATAAATTTATAACCTTTAATAAATAACTTTAAAGTTAATATAACCTGCTTAGATATCAAAATTGTTCTTCTCAATGTTTAAATAAATTAATGTTTGTTACATAAACACGATAGCTGTTACAATGATATTTTGAATTATTTTCTGTCTACGCTAAAATTAACATCAGAATATTTCTAACAATGTTAAATTAATACTTACATTCACGTTATAACTTCGTACAAGTTATCTTAAAATTAGTTGTGAATCACAAAGTTTGGTCATAGACCGATTTAATCGCAAACATTTCCATATACGTACTCTGGAATTTAAAATAAAGGTGTCTCAATTCGTTAGCACTGCTAAGAATACAATAATATGTATTTTGATCTGTGTGTTGTTATATTAATTATAATGATTACATTGCTTAACATTGACTTCTTTGTTCTGTTTATCTTAATGTGAAATGTAATAATTTATTTTCGGTTTTATATTGTTTGAATATTTAAATCATAAGCTTTTAAATGTTATAATTTATTATTTTCTTGGAAAACAGTACTAATTTGAGTAGATTATGAAAGTATTTTCTTCGCATAATACGATTTTGAAACTCACTATATAATATTTAACACAACTATAATAATTGATTTAAATTTTGTTGTTCCCATATTGTGAGCCTCAATCCCTGACTGACACTGTAACTAAACATTATACGAGACTATTTTATAATATAAAGTAAAAGATGTGCTTAAATTTATGGTTAAGTTACGGAATACATAATTATAAATGAAAATATTGATAAAGTATAGTTGCGAGAGTAAGATAAAGAAAATTATCGGAGGTTAGTATATCCACATACAATCAGCCTGATCAACTGAGAATTTGGAAAACCTGAATATTAATAGGTAGCCGTAGGAATAGCCGATTAATTTTTTTAAGGTTGTTCGGACACGCTTAAATGCGGAATAAGTTTTAATGTATTTCAATGAGGGAAATGATAATTTATTATGAATTGTATAGGAATATTGTCCACTATCTTGATCATGTATGTACGCGAGCCGTGTACGTGAAAGTTATGGTACAAATTACATGAGCTGAAATGCAAAGAAGTGAATTAAATGATATTGGTAATTTTCTTGATCATGTATGTACGCGAGCCGTGTACGTGAAAGAAATGACATACTTACATGTTGTATATGAAAAAAAGAATAAAATAAAATATTGAAATATAAAAGATTATGAAGATTAAGAGAATATTATATATAATACTAGCTACTAGCCAGGCAGACGTTGTTCTGCTCTTTTCGGCGACCCTTTGTCATAGCCTATTAAAATCCTTAAATTTGAAAAAAATATGTAAGTCACACGGTTGTGCACACGGTGTGCGAATTTTATTAAAATCTGTTGAGTAGTTTAGGAGCCCATCGCGGACAAACAACGTGACACGTAATTTATATATATTATCATTATTGTCCTGACTAGATAAATGGTAGGCATAATAACAAAATGATTAAGGATACGAGTAAATAATATTGTACATTTTCGTGAACATCAAAACATAATTTTATGTTATACATAATTATGCCTGATTATGTCAATTATACTACTGTGACTATGCACATTTAACTTGCAACATGTTAGATATGTCTTAGATTATAGTTTTCATAATGATATTAACCTTTTTTAGAATAATCTTAAGGATCTATTTTAAGAATTGATAAAAAAATATAGATAGCATATTTTTTTATTCTTTTGTCGGTGGGAGGTGTAGTGTAGTGCTCCCACGTTAATATACTTTAGTGTTAAGGTAGAATAATGAGTAGTATAATTAAAGATCTAGAACAAACCACACGTCCTTTCATACATTACAAATTGGATTGTGTGCTCGTTTGTTACTACTGTATACAACACCTATACAACAGATTCAAAATGTACACCGCCGACGAGAAAAAGCGCCAAAGGTGTCGGACCTATGGTACTACGCTCGTCAATCCGCCTCCTAAGTGTGACTATTAAGGCAAATAATGTCTATAATAGGAGTCCCATTTCCATCAATGATATCCTACACTCACCATACGAAACAAAGCAGCATTATGCTGCTATTTTAGGCTGACATTCTGAGAGCGTGGTCCTACCCCAGTGGAGCTGACCCATTTGTGCTACAACAATAACATAGCTGCAGCATGGCCCTACCATGTATAAATTAACTTCTTGTAAACGATTTGTAATCTATTGAAAAACTAAAATGGACGTAAACTTATTGGGTGCGTTTGGCAGAAAAAAGCGCTAGCAAGCGCTTGTAAGCAAAATGGCGATCGTAAGCGGTAAGCGCTGTCAAATCGTAAGTAGCTATTTTCCTCCAGGACACGATGTTAGGTTTACCCGGGGTATCTAACCTAATTTAAATATATGTTTGTAAAGTATTCATATTAAAAACTTACTAATCATGAGTTTTTAATAGCATGTATATGTTTATTCATGTCATTATATTACTTAAAACTAATATTGCACAAAACAACTTATAAACTCTACTTCAAAACAAACAAATTAAATAAGCAAAATGGCGGATTGTGTCAGCGCTACTGAAGTAGCAATCGTGTCCTGGCCGAAAACTATTTTAGCGCTTATAAGCGCTTGCTAGCGCTTTTTTCTGCCAAACGCACCCATTAATTATAGGTCATTACTTATGAAGTTGCCGTTCTGCAGTACTGGCCATTTTAAATCAAAATAACTTTGTTTGGCTATGAAATCTAATTTCAAATTAATTTTATATTAAAAACATGGAATTTTTTATTCCAAACTAGTCATTTGTTTATTGATTAGTGTTATGTTTTCATTGCACTTGAATTTTTTCGTCATCATTGATACGTTAAAAATTCGAGTAATTATGGAATATGAGTACCGTCGTAGCAACAACGCGGCAAAAGCGGCACGCAACATCAACGATGATACTCAATCTACGGCTGAATTAGCAGCAGCTTTTGACGTTAGCATATTGGTCCATTTACGTCAAATTGGCAAGGTACGATATCTTGACAAACGGGTGCCCCAAGAACTCAATGATCACCAGCGGGAAATGCGCGTCGAGACGTGCCTTGCACTGCTCAACAGGCATACAAACGAAGGAATTTTGGACCACACTGTTACCTGCGACGAAAAATGGATTTTTGACAATCACAAGCGCTCAGCAAGTTGAAAGGATCCTGGTTCAGCACCTGAACAACGCCCTAAACGAAAACTTATTCCCGTGAAAAGTCATGGTCACTGTTTGGTAGTCCAGCGTCGGTGTGATTAATCCCAGCTACTTACCTAACGGTATGAGCATTACTGCTGATGTTTAGTTCTGTGTAGAACTGACCACAATGATGGAGAAGCTCGTACGTCACCTACCAACTTTGGTCAATCTCTCGTCTCCTGCACTACAACGCTCGACCTCGTACTGCACAACAGATGGTCTCCAAGTTACAAGAGAGCTAGGGTTGGTCAGTCATCCACCGTACTCACAAGACCTTGCGCCTACAGACTTGTACCTTTTCCAGAATTTGGATAACTTTTTAGCGGGAAAAAAATCAACACCCGAGAGGCAATACAAAGTATTTGAAGAATTTACTACCTCCTTGTCCAGCTGATTTCTTCAAAAATGGCATCAATAAACTGCCACAAAGATGCATCGATTTCATGGATGATTACTCTGATTAACAGAAATAGAAAATATAGTAAATAAATTACGCTAATTTATGTCATAAATAACGGTAATTTCATAGGTAAAGACCTAATATTAAATCTAGTGTATCGTTTAGCAGTGTATCGCTTTAATACACTTTTAATAAAACAAAGCATTTATTAATTTTATTTTGATCTTTTATTCGAGGATTTACCTCCTTTTAGCCAGTTTATTCATTTAAGGCAGACGTAAAATACTAGATTGGCGACCGGAAACAGTATCAAAATTGTGAGACGTTCCAACCTTGATGAGAAGAGATGAAATTTCGTCGCCGAATTTAATACTAATAACTTAATACACTGAATTTAATAACTTCCACGAACCTATATTGTGTGTAAGCTGTGTGTGCGGTTGTGCGCTTATGTTGGTAGCTTTTGTTTCCTTCTCCGGCATCTCCGCGATAGCTTCGGCCTTTTCCATTTCTTCTAATAGCACACGTGTAAATTCCGCTTGCACTTCCGGTGAGTCAGTGTCACCATCAACCTAAAAATTAAGAACAATTGACTGGTTCCTTTTCCGAATTTCAACCACAACATGATTGAGTTGTTATCAGAAAGATGCTACTGTACATCTGTAATCGCTTCTTACCGAATCCATGGGATGATGTGAGATTATGGGTTCTCTTATATCGCCACTACACGGCGATAAAGCAATGCAAATGGTTTTACTGGTGGTTACCTTTTCTGGCAAAGAGTCCGTCTAGAGTTTGTAAACTCTATTTTTGTTTTGTAAAATAAGTAAGTAACTATTAGTAGCTACAAAATTTTAAGCAAAATAAATTCGCAACAACTTTAGATTTAGTGGACAGTATTGAGGTGAGTTACACTTCACTAGCTATGAGAATATTAAAAAGTAAACATTAAAAGAAAAGAATCACTATCTGCTTGCTTTTTAAATTATTTCATAGGATGTAACTTAAGTGTACGCCATCTGTCACGTAACTTATACTCCCAACGGGCCTTATTCAAAGTCAATAAGATCAAAAAATATTTATTCATGTTTCATCAGTATGTAATTTGTTAGATACAAATTACATACTGATGAAAAAAATATAAATTATCAAAACACACGATTTTCAAAAACAAATACCGAGGAAAGCTCGGTCATCCAGGTACTATATGTATATATATATATGTAATAAACACACCCTCGTACATATCTCTGCCGACAGGAGGTAATAACGCATCTGTGTCCTTATTAGTTTGAAGTTGGTTGTAAGAGTCTGAGGGCTGAAGATAGGCATATAAATCACTAAAATAATCATAATAAATATGTGGAATACTGAAGTGTAGTAGGAAAGAGAAAACATATTTTGTGATACTTAAATATTTACATTTACATCGTAATGTTTACAAATTTTATTATTCGATAGCACCTACTGTGGTCGCCAATCCGCGTACTGTCCGTCTAGAATCATTGCAATACACTTACAATGACCAATCGGTGTTGTTGGTCAAGTGTCTTGAGCATAGGCAGGCTGTGCTCTCGGAACACCTCTAGGCGGCGTCGGAAAGCCGCCACGGAGTCGTCTCGTCTGCCACGTCCCAGTTGCAGTTTTGAACAGTCCAGCAAAACCATCCGAGGCGTAACGTGAAACTGCAATTAGAAGAACAAAAATGTATAAGCAATTTATAAATTATATTTTATCTTTTGGCAGTTTTTTTGCAGCAGTTTCGTAGGTTTCCTTAATATCAAGCCAAGAAAATGTAATAGCATACCACCTCACCATAAAAGCTTCAGAAATAGGTTCTCAGACAATTTTAAAATAATTAAAACCCAAAATTCAGAAACTATGTGGAAATTGTTGAATCATTTTTTTAGTTTTTGAAATCGGATTTTTGTTTTTATAGAAAGTTTTTTTACCCTTTTCATTGTTTTAGGGAATTCACAATCTCAAGGTAACGACTACTTGTATGTATTGTAATTATGCAAATTTAAATGGGGCCACCTCGATTATCAATAACGGCGACAACTCCTTAATGATTATAAACTACCTACTGCTTTGAATAAAGATTATTATATATTTTTTCTCTAATCACACCTTACTGACTTGACCATTCAACCGGATTTGAAAAATACAAACCAAAAAATTTGGGTTGAATGGTTAAAGCTTACTGACTAACAATATAGTAACATTGTAAGAGACTTGACTAAAACGTGTTTGAGATGGTTTTATAAAAAAAAACCTGTGTTGCTTTTTTAATTTAAAGTTCACTCTTCCTAGCTCTGAAAATCTGTCCCGATTACATGTTTATACAATAAGATCTATGAGCTTAGCAAAGACGTATTTCTACAATCGATAACGCTAATCGCGTAACTGATAACACTACACGGCTCTCTATACCTTTACCAATACCAAACCGGAACACAGTATGCACTACTCTGCTATGCTCTGCTATTTGGTAAGAAGGTGGTAACTACCCTGACGGACTGCTAGGGAGATAAGGTATCCTACCACCTAAGTAAGTCATTGTCTAAACGTTGGTACCATTCAAGCCCACCGAGGCAGTTTAGAATAAAGGACTACACCGCCATATTTACTAAAATTCTGTTTTACGTGGTATTTACGTGGTAGAACCACGCTGCAGTTATATTAGTAGTATAGTTGTAGCACGAATAGGTCGGCTCGACCGGGGAAGGACCACGCTCTCATGAGTAGCTAATGCTGCTGTGTTTCGTATGGTGAGTGTATATAAAACCGGAAACCATTTTTACTTGACATATCGAGTGACGTGCAGTTTCGTGTTCACTTGGAAGAGAAGGCCAAATTTGCCTCTAAAAAGCTTGGCGTGCTCAGCAGAGCGAGACAGTATTTCATGCCGGCTCACCGCCTGCAACTTTACAAGGCGCAGGTGCGGCCGCACATGGAATACTGTTCCCATCTCTGGGCTGGGGCTCCCCAGTAGAGCGTACTCCTTTCTAAAGGGCCGGCAACGCACTTGCAATTCCCTGGTGTTGCGGTTGATCATGGGCGGCGGTAGTCACTTAACATCAGGTGAGCCGCATGCTCGTTTGCCCCCTCTTCTATTAAAAAAAAAAAACTTGAAACGAGGCATTCCATCTTAGTCCTCACGGATGACAACGCATCTGCATTTTGATTCGTAATCGAGGATAGATGTAGATGTCTATGGGCCACAGCAACCACTTGCCATCAGATGGACTGTGTGCTCGTTTGTCACACTATCCTATAAAAAAGTATTGACAAGATGCGGCAGTTTGCATGGTATATTCATTTGTAGATCCAACTCCGAATAAATAGCCGGTTCCCTTATTATTAGACTAGGCAAAGTTTATATATGACGTAAATTTTTATTTATCTACTAATGTTATGTCGAACAGTACAACTGGCCCATTAGCTCAGTTGGTTAGAGCGTCGTGCTAATAACGCGAAGGTCGCGGGTTCGATCCCCTCATGGGCCATTTTTTATTTAACATTTTTTTATTGGAATATGTACGTTTTAAATTTAATATTAAACGTTTTTTTTAATTTAAAACGTGTACCCGTCACGTTTTTTAAAGTTATTTGTTGCATTTTTTTTCAATATTTAGCCTTTTTAAGACCTTAACTGGACATGGGCTTTACCAAAATCACCACGCTAGGTCGAGAGCCGATGCCGTAACATAAAGTCTGTAGGATTTAGGATCGACATTTTGGATAAATGTTCTTTCATTTTTTGGTTGTAACAACTTTCAAACAATTTTTCGCCAAATTAAAATTGCTAATAACATGGAATTTAAAATTGAGATTTGTCATTGGGACTTTGTACTTAACTTCTTTGATTTTAATTTAAGCGGCTTACATACTTTATCATTTGATAATTTGTACTTACGTTTAATTAGAACGTATTAAAAAGTATTAAAACTTATCTGTTTAAAACCTTTCTCAAACTTTAAACAAAAAAACCAGTAATATGGATATTCTTGTCTGCATTTGTGGATGGGTATAATATTTATTTGTTAATTTTTATTTGAAAGCTAATTCAGACTACATTTTAAGAGTTTTATTGCTTATATTAACTTATTTTAAATTCCCGACGTTTCGAGTATGTACTTCTTTCTTCTTTCGAGTAGAGTTCGACTTCGTAATAGTCGTAACAACACGGCTACCTATTAATTTTTAATTTTTGTACGATTAAAAATTATTACTTTTGTAAGATGTCACGTAGATGGTAGCGCCCAGCCAGTTCTATTGAAATTAGGATGTTTTTTTTTATTTCAATAGCCTCGTGAATCATCCTTGGAAGGAATCGGTGTTTTTGGTGGTTGATTGGTGATAGGGTTGGGGTCGATCCCTTTGAGACGTTTAGAGACTATTAGAATTTCGGTTCACAACACTGCGCGGTCATAAACACTATGGAAATACACACCGGAACGATCCCGTGCGATCTTCGTTTTGGAAAAGTTGCAAGTGAATGGTCGAGGTTACGTGAGAAGCCGGCCAGCAGGGCGCAAGCAAGCGTGAGGCCTTACAGGCGGCGACCTTTGATATGTAATAGCTCATGGTAACTATAGCAAGGCCAATTTAATAGATCACATTTGACATCTGTCATTTTTAGCTTTATAGTGAGATGACCTGTTTAAAAACATCGACTAAAGTGATGAATCGATATTAACTTTAAACATACGTGAGTAAAATTACAGTACCTTTAAGTACTTTTTCATAATAACTGAATAGGTACTGTAATTTTATTAAAAAAAAATTAGCATTGGAAGGAACCAGGAACATCCCACGAGTTTTTGGCCTAAAATTGTACCTAACTTCAATGATTTTTCTATTTGTTTATTTTTGTATTTTATAGTTAATTAAAAGAATAATTTGCTCTATTGTCATCACAATGTGGTTATTAATTTAAGGTGAAATATTCCTTCACAATTACATACATAATCACTGCATTCGAGTCTACTTATCAACTTTCATTTTTTTAGGTAACATCCCTAGCGTTTAAAATGAAAAAGGGTTCACTGACGAAACATTGTAACGACGTTCAGTTCTCTTTAGAACAGAAATTGTTTACAACATAATAGATGTTTAAATGGTTTATTAGTGAAAGTTAATCGTAAAATTACCTTCTTTAGTCATTAGTACAAATAAATATTATTTTATGCCCGTCGTTACAAGGTTACGTTGTTGAATGTTAATGAAGTGTCAAATCTCATCTATTAAATTGGCCCTATTATATACATATTCCTGTGCAAATCTCACGTACCGCTTGTTTTGGAACTGGTGTATCTGGTCGAATTCTAGCGGAAAGCCGGGCGACTCTACTATAAGCAGGGCGCAGTGGAGGAGTATGTTTTTTAGGTTAATCCAGTTTTGTATGTACGAGGTGTCCTTGGGACATGTGCATCTATCTGGTCAAAGTCAAGCGGAAAGCCATGGACGCAGTGAAGGAACGTAGTTTATAGATTAGTTAATTATGTATGCAATTATATGCACACCTCGTCCTGGAACAGATGCAGGCAAGGTAGAAAGAGGTTGTGTCAACTTAGTTCCCAATTATGACCAAACCTAGTCCTGGATCAGATGCTAGTCGAGTTTACCAGAAAGTCATGGCCGTAGTAAAGGAACGTAGTTTGTAGAAGGTTAGGCGACCTTCAAGTTGGAATCTTACCCAACCATATCCTGAATTTTAGTATTTCAAGATTTGGTGAGGTTTTGCTGACAATTAGTGTCCAACTCAATTCCTCACTAAATCTTAACATAATAAAATTCTGGATATCTTTGGGGAGGATTCCAGCCTGAAGGACGCGAAGGTTGGTTAATTATGTGTATTTAATCACGTGGAAAGCCATTGCTCAGCAGGCTGCAAAGAAGGAACGTGGTTTCTAGAACGATAGCTAACTATATATCCAATTCTGTGCAACTCGTCCTGGAACACATGTGCATTTGGTCGTGGTCCCGTAGGAAGAGTTTATGTCAACTCAGTCCCCAATTCTGTGAAAAACCTATCCTGGACTAGGTGCATTTAATCGAAGTCACTGCAAGGTTTATACTAAGTTAGTATTCAATTTTGTGCGCAATTCTTCGTATCGTGCATCTGGTTGAGGTTGCGCGGAAAGCCGCCTAGTAGCAGACTGCAATGAAAGAACGTAGTTTGTGGAAGAGTAGTTAACTATGTATGTATATAATTCTATGTGTACCTCGTCCTTAACCAAATGCAGTTGAGGTCACGCGGGAAGCCGTGACTGCAATAAAGGAACGAGGTTTGTAGACGGCTAATGGCTAACGGTTTGTAGTTAATTACGTACCCAGTTCTATGCGTACCTTCCCCTGGAAGAGTTGCATCTTGTCTAGGTCACGCGGGAAGCCGTGGATCAGGAAACTGTAGCGAAGCAACGTGGTTTGTAGGAGGTTAGTTGACTACGTATTTAATTCCGTACGTACCTCATCCTGGAACATGTGCATCTGTTCGAGGTCGCGCGGGAAGCCGTCCAGTAGCAGGCCGCAGTGCAGGCGCGCGGCCTCGCCGGCGGCAGCGCGCACCAGTCGCTCCACCAGCTCGCCAGCCGCCGGCTCGCCGCCACTCACAGCCGCGCGCGCCATCGCACCCTCAGATGCCGGCCCGCCGCCAGCCTCAGCCAAAGCGCGAAGACGTTGACCCAAACTGGAAGGAAAACAGACCAAACTCTTTAAATAAAACTATATTTTAAATGATCTTATCGCTTATATTAATTAATTGTATATAACTAACGTTTCGAGTACTTTACAGCACCCATGGTTACGGAAGAATTGATGTGTTTGACGTCCCAATATCATCATAGTTACTTACATGAATATAAAAATCATTAAGCAAAGCCTTTTTTTACATTAACACGTCTTTAAACTTGCTTCCATAGTGGTAGAATATACGTGGTAGAGCCATACTAACATACTATAGCTATATTGTGATTAAAGTACGAATAGGTCGGCTCGACCGACGAAGGACTACGCCATTACAGAACACAAAAGCAAAATTGCGGCTTAATGCCACGTTTCGTAATATGAGTGTAGAGAACCGGAGACTCTTTTTACTAGAAATGAGGCATTCCATCCAGTCCAGTTCAATCCTCAGGGATGACAACGCATCTTCATTTTTATTCATGACCGAGCATCGAGAGAGATGAAGATGTCTATGGGCCATCATGCCGGGCGGACTGTGTGAAGAAAACAGACAGAAAACTGATGATAACAAAATTGGATGATATAGTTTGGTGTTGCAGCTACATATCTAGCATCTACATAAAAAACTTAATTACACCGTTCAATAGCTAAAGGATCAAAGAATTGGTTGCGTTGAGTGAGGACTTCCAAATATCGCGCGCAGCGGAGATAGGAGCGCTGTCATTTTGAGGTCGTTTCGGTACGTACACGTATTCACGTAAATCACGCGGTCGTGTTCACAACACAGACACTCATCGATTTGTTTTACGTGGGGAAATCCATCTGTCGCGAGGTTGACAGGCAAATAGGGAGTTATATTTTCAAAATAATAAAATACTCCGGTGACCGACCCCCTGCCAAGCGTTCCACTATCGCAAATCCTCTATGACGCAATCTATGGGGGTGGCCTACGTTCGAGCTAATATCTGGAACTATCCCATACCTTATATATCCTAAAATCCTATACTATACGAATCACCGACCTATTTTTCAGGAATATCTCACCTATTTCTGCCGCGAAACAAGATGCCGCCAATACTCGCTATTATTCGGTATTCGGCATTACCCGATATTTTTTTTTTGTTATTCGTCGAATACCGAATAATAACTAGTATTATTTTTAATTCGGCGAATAGTTGTCTAAAACAATGAACAAAAAATCTATAGACTTAAAAATAATCAAACTTTATATAAATAGGTACAAGAAAAGGGTTGCCAGCATTTAAAAATGCAAAATCAGGATAATGTGAGACTTTTTATTTAACTTAATTGTTTCTTTATTCATAACCTTAGAAAATTTTTAGATTACAGTAACAAATAAACGATTTGTTCGAGATTTTCAAGAGAAGTTCAAGATTATTACGATCGTGAAATTATTATTTGATAACAAATTAATTATTTTTTATATTCTTTTTCGACTGAATCGACATAAATATCGATTAATAATGGCGAGTTATTCGACTATTCGCCACAGGGATTAACGATTAATAGGTATTCGACTGTTCGCTACAACAACTATTCGCGGCATCTCTAATACAGACCCAGTGTAGTTAGAGGCTGTGAGGAGTTCTATCCTAGTCCTCAGAGCTGACAACGCATTTGTAGTGGTTTTTGTTATAAGCTCATTGCAGGTCCATGAGCTGCAGTGGCCACTGACCATCACCAGGCGGACACAACTCGTTTACTAATAGAGCACCGTCACCAACCTGAAATGGATCCAGCCCTGCCGCTGCAATACTGCTCGCTGACACAACGTGGCCTTGTTGCTGCCCGGACCTCCCACTACCCACAGCGTTGGCAGTCTCGTCGTTGTACCGCGCACTTTAATCACTTCAGGCTGCAAAAACAGGAAGTATTTTTTGAGCATAAAGTTTTTATACAATATTTCGATGTGGAATTCCGTGTGGAAGCGGCGCAGGAGATTTCATCACCCATTTTTTTTTAAATAGGTAAGCACACCAACCCAAACCTCATTAAAAATAGATTTACCCACTGAGAATGCCTCATTTCCTAATGTCTTCTCCCTCCCTAATAGAAAAACAACTTACACTATACTACAAATTCGCAGCTCTACCACGTATAAAATCATCCTGTGGGTGTAGTATGGGGCCGATTATGGAAATTGCCAGAAATCTGCATCCTTATGTTGGGCCGCCCTTTCATGCTGCAGCCAATCAAAAACCCAAATCATTCTTATCCGGATCTAAACCCCGCCATCTACCATAAAGCAACACGGCAATGTTCCCGTTATCGCGAGGCGGGTATGCGTAAGCATTTCCCCATGAAAGGTATATCTGGTCTCCCGAGTTCTTGCACACAAAGTCAATTTAAAAAAGACAACGGTTCGTAGGGAGAAGAAAAGTGGGCAGGGATATCCCACTGTGAAAATCTGTTAATTTAACTGACACTTTTTTATTATAAAGATGTTCGAATTGTGCGTTATAAAGGTTGCACCTTAACCTACTAGCAACCTAGTTGTTTTTTTTTAAATCGTTTAGATAGGCGTTTTTGGTACAATTTTTGTAATTTTGCACAAAGATATATTATCTCAAATACCATTAAATTCCGCACTTTAGTATTTTGGTATTTGATACAACTTTACTAACACCATCTGTAACTTACTTATTATTTACATAAAAAAATATATTATGCAAAAACATGGCGTAGAAACTTATATCAGGATATCAGCAATGCAAATCAAACTCAAGGGGATATTAATAAAAAAAACAATGTGTGGCCCATGAGGGGATCGAACCCGCGACCTTCGCGTTATTAGCACGACGCTCTAACCAACTGAGCTAATGGGCCAGACAGAATACGAGTTATATGACAGCAATACATAACACATTCACGATTTTTATAATATACATTATTATAAATGCCAAATACATTTATGATAATACCTTATATCAGTAAAGAATTTATTTTATAATGGTAATTACAGATTAAAAAAATCGGCCAAGTGCGTGTCGAGCCACGCACAATGGTAAGGTTCCGTAGTTGTCCATCACAATACGTGAGCTTTCGTGATAATGAGCATAAAATGAGTTCGCGGTTTGACCGATATAAAGACTAAAAATGGGTTCAAATAGGGCGATAGTAACTGACTAATAGTCAAATTAGGCTTATTGGGAGTGGTATTCGAAAAAGTTTAAATAAATTTCTATTTTGAAAATAATACAATTAACATCAATTTATTTACATGCCAAGTCCGTACAATGATGGTACTATTATTCCCGGTAGTGCAACCCTAATATATATATATAAAAAACGTGGCAATCAATATATATATATATATATATATATATATATATATATATATATATATATATATATATATATATATTATGATCATAATGAACCGTATCGTAAACCACGTTTTTTAGTCTTTACACTTTGATTTTCAATCGAGGAAAGTTAGTGGATTGTGGGCTCGTTTGTCACCACCGTACTATAAGAAAGGTGCGAGATGCCTGTAACTACGATCGTCAATCCCTTTACCAAGTGTGAAGATTAAGCAATACCTTTCTACAACGGGAGAGGCGGTCCAGCGGTGAACTTACGCGCTCTGATAAAAAAGATTAAGAAAATATGTACGTATTTCTTCTGTGTTGCGCGTATACATTGGACAATATGCAATATTCCCACAATTCCATTAAAAGTTTACTACACGGTATGTAGTAGTGGTGTAAGGATACCCACTACCCCATATCATCTCGTGGGTGTCGTAAGAGGCGACAGACTTTGGGTCCCAATCAGGAGATGGGCAGCAGCGTCTTCCTAATAACGGCCGACCCGCGTGCCAATTGTGGCAACTATGGCAAATATCCCAAACGTGTGGCAATCAATAGGGAAAGCCTATTTTCAGCAGTGGACTTTAATAGGCTGTAACAGTAACGGTATTCTAACAATTAAAAACCAAAAAATAAAAACCTTATTTCTAAAAACTTAAATTCCCAGACAGAGTTTCCTTGACCTTTAAGAGACGGAGTATCCACTTAAACAAGTTCTAAATTAAAACATATTAGTGACTAACGGTAGGACCGTTAACTTATTGTCGATGATTAGCACCTACTTAAATTATTTATTAAGTAATTATTTCTATACCTGGGGCCGTTCATAAAATACGTCACTTAGAATTTCACCCCTTTGAACCCCTCCCCCTTCGTCACGCTCTCACGCAAGTCACACTTTCAGCATACCCCTAACAAATATTACTTCACAAAAGCCAGCTCAACCCCTATAAACGATTTCTTTTGATTAAATATGTTTAATAACAGGTTTTTAAGAACTTGAGAATGACTTTCTATCCTAATGAAAAAAAAATTACTAAGTACAAGAAAGAAAAGCACGTATGTAATTATTGTATGTGCTGTTTACACCAAGAAAATTATTGAATCGAAACTTGTCCTACAGATCAAGAATATGACGTGTTGTTTAGACCATGGAAGTCATTTATAAATGCCCATTGAATGTAAATGGCCCATTATTTGCGAAAATATTTTATGAACGGCCCCTATGTCTCTTTCTAATGTTATTTAGTTAGGATTGGGTGACAAACGAGCACACAGTCCCCCCCCCCCCCCTGATGGTAAGTGAATGCTGTGGCCTATAGAAATCCAGATTTAGCCCCAACTAAGGATCAAAATGCAAATGCATTGTCACCCCTGAGGGCTAAGATGGAATGCCTCGATTCTAGGAAAAAGGGTCTCTCTAGAAGAGTTTCTCTACACTCACCATACGAAACATAACAGTATTACGCTGCTAATTTACGCTGGTATTCTGTGAGAGCGTGGTCGTACCTCGGTCGAGCCGACCCATTCGTGCTACAGCTATAATATAGCTGCAGCGTGGCTTTCCCACGTAAAAAAATTAGATTCTAAGATTATTGTTTATTTTTTCTTTAAAGCCCACTTTAAAGAATTAAAACGACCTATTATGAATTAATTTTCACTTAATAGCTTACGAAGTCGGTGCTAAGACTTTTTTTTTATAAAATACCCTTATTTTTACCTAACAAGCACACAGTCTACCTGATACTAAGTGGATTCTGTGACTCAGACATCTACACCTATCATTGATTAAATGTTATAAGTATGATATAAAAAATTATTCTTTTATTTTCAACCAACAAAAACATTGAATGATTAAAATGTTTTATTCATTCCGGTCACAATAGCATATTTTAATCCAACTATTATTATTTCAAAGGTAGATGTACCAAAGACTAAACTATCTCAACTATATCTGATAGCAATAAAAGAGTATAACCTAAACTATTTGTTAAAAAATCAAAAATTTAGATTTACGTCATTCGTCATTTCAGTGTAAATGATCCTTTTCTAACGACATTTTATTATTCATAAAACGAGTTAAAATCTTACGTAAGTAAAGGGAGGGGAATCTTATGTACCCTTACATCCTTACGTAATAAATGAATGGCCCCTTATACCGGATGACTAAGACGGAAGGCCGCGAGGTGATACTTTGAAAATTTTGTGGTTTTTCTATTTAACATATTTTTTCAAATTTTATAGATTACAAACCAAAATTTTGGTATATGATTTTTGACTATATGATCGTGGATTGCATAAAAAGAAAACACGATATCATGTAATTTTCTCGATAGAAAAAAATTGCAAAATAGGCTCTAATAAGTTACATTTCTCCACCACCACAAAATTTTTACTAAGAAGTTCATGGAGTTATTTTTAAGGCATAGTAAATATTCATATCTAAGTTCTCATAAACCATTTTTTAATCCATACCGAAGTTTTGTTAAAAAAAAATGTGTACCCGGTATAGCTATATCATAATTTGCGTACTATGAAGTCATTGCATCACTTTCATTTTGACACTCCCTCAATCGTCCATGAGCTTCACCGACAAAGGAATTAGCCACGCCCCCAAAACTACGATTCATTTTCAAGGTATCCTGCAATAAAAAGGGTCTGCGGTTGTCTACACTTACCATACGTAAAACAGCAGCATAAAGCTGTTGTTTCACGCTGCTATTTTGTGAGAACGTGGTTTCGTGGAATCCCGGTCGAGCATGAACCATTCGTACCTGCCGCTATAAAATATTATAGCTGCAGCGTGACTTTAACACGCACTAGACAATTATTGCCTGCGAGACATATTTTATTGAAGAATTGTAGCGCGATTTCAGTAGCTAAAATGAGGAAAATTTTCGCTTTTTGCTTTTTTATAAAATAATAAATTTTGACCTTTTTGCGAGGACTGACGAATATAACAAGCTCAAGGTAGCTACTAGTATGTCGTCTAAATTCTTTCATTTTAATAATTATTTCTTAATTTTTCACCTACAGGGGTGACATTTCACCCCTGAAGTATAATCTGTTTAGCATAAAATTAATTATTAAAATCGGATTAAAATTGCCGAAGATATCGCATAATATAAATATAAAACGGGTCTGCCGCTACATTAGTAAGTGTACTGGTTCTGTGTGGCTGGTTCTTCCCCGATCAAATCGATCCTTCTTACTGCAGCAATAATCCAGTCACAATGTAGCTCTACCGGAAATAAACTAATACAATAGCCTACCTCCGACTATATCCCAAAAGCGTCATCGAATACGGTTAGATTTGGGCAAGTTTGAAGTTGAATGATAATATACAACTTTATAAAGTTTTCGGTAAGATACGCACGCTACCTACTGTAAGCTAATTGTATCTAATATGCCTATAATCTTCGCACAAGTGCAAGCAATAAGTTGACAAAGTTTTAGCGCCATCTGATGAACGGTGTGGCAGCGCATAAAATACGAATAAACAAACATTAATTTTTATATATTAGATTTAGGCGTATTTAAAGCTTTTATAAACATCGGAAACTATACCGGTTCGCAAAAACAAAACCTTCTCAGTGAAAAATCGGCGAGAAGCTAGAAAGGGGTGTAAATATTAGTAATCTACATACTATAATAAAAATAATATAAAATGCCAGTTTCAAAAAAGTCGTATCAGTAACCAAGGGACTTGAAAGTGCAGGGTAATTTCATGTTATTTCCACACATCATTGTCCTCAACATATTGCTCTATTCTTGTATGTATGATGCATTATTATATTGATTCTATCTGTTCCATAATATACGGTCAATATTGGCAAAAAATCGATTTATAAAATAATAAGTAATATCGATTGCCGAAACACGCGACGTTTTCGATAGCGCGTCTCAAATATTTATTAAACGATAACTAGACTGCTAGTCCCCTATGGGGATGGGGTGGAGACATGTGTTTGTCAGAGTCTGGTGATTATAGAGGTCGAGTCGATTGCCTTGACCTGACTTTGTTAACTATTCACAGTAAGACCAAAATATTTATGTCTTGCGAAGGACTCATATTGAGTCCTTACATATGAAATTAGCGTTTTGTCGTACTGACCACTTTGATCTGAAATATCTCCTCTTTGGTTAAGAATTCCAAATTCAAATTTATAAATTAATTTAGCTGGTACATTTGACTTTTGAAAAGTCACTCATTTGCTTTTTCCTCATTAATTTTTCTTTGGCGTCGCTTATTACCGCACAATGGAAAACATGAAACATCGTTATATTTACGAGTACGAGTTCTACCGTGGCACCAGTGCTGCAGAAACAGCGCGAAGGATTAATGATGTGTACGCCGCTGGTTTCGCAAAAGAAATCACGGTACGTATTTGGTTTCAACGTTTTTGTTCCTGAAATTTCGACCTTCAGAACCAACCCCGTGGACGGCCGGAGACCAAAGTGGAAAATGAAGAATTAAAGGCTATTGTGGAAGCGGATCCATCACAAAGCACTTCAGCGATAGCTGCAGGCTTTGGGGTAAGTGATAAAACTGTATTAATCCACTTGAAGCAAGTCGGGAAAGTAAAAAAACTTTGAACCATGGGTACCTCATGAATTGAGTGAATCGAACTTGCAAGCGTCGACGTCTGTGTTACTTTACTCAACCGACTCAAAAATGAAGGGATATTAAATCGAATCATTACTTGTGATGAAAAGTGGATACTGTACGATATTCGGAAGCACTTGTAGCAATGCCTGAAACCTGGAGACCCAGCCAAATCCTGCCCTAAACGAAAATTGACTCAGAAAAAGTTACTTGTGAGTGTTTGTTAAACTAGCGCCGGTGTCTTTCACTACAGCTTTCTAAAATCTGCTTATCTATCTATCTATTGTCAGCAACTGCAAACCACGAAGAAAGAACTATTTGCTAAACAACCGAGATTGGTCAATCGCTCTGGGCCACTGCTGCTTCACGACAACGCAAGACCACTAAGTTAGATGAGCTACTATTGGAATGTCTGCGATCACATCCACCATACTTCCCGGACCTTGCTCCAACAGATTATCAATTTTTTTGGAATTTGGACAACTTCTTACATGGGAAAAAATTCAACTCCGATGCGGCAGTCCAAACCGCCTTCAAAGAGTTTATTGATTCTCGCCCCCATAGTTTTTTTTAGTAAAGGGATCAATAGGAAGTTCACATATGAGATGACAAAAGTGCATAGATAACAACGGTGCATACTCTGATTAATTAAATATATTTTACAAAAAAGAATTGACTTTATATTCCTCCCGTACAAAACGTTAATTTCATATGTAAGGACCTAATATTATATTAACACGTTGACGCGATTTCACTTGCGTGCAAAGTTTGTCTAAGCAAGAAAGATAAGGAAAAGAAGGGCTTTTTGCTCAATATTGGGACAAAAAATGTCCTTAAAATAAAGGTTTCTTTGCGTACTTAATTTATATATTATGTAAGCCACCTCCAGATACAGAAGAAAAACCTACAGTGGGGATAACGTTTTCGCTATAAATTCGTCTGATGGTGGTCTAAACGATGTCAATTGAAGAATTGCTTGAACTTTCTCTCTCTCTCTCTCTCTTTCTCTGTCTTTTTCTTTCTCTTCACTATAGAATGAAATAATTTTTAATAAATATAGGTTATAAATAATTCTTATTTAAAGTAATTTTTACTTTGACCACTGGTTTGGAAAAAATCCTCCATCATTATACTTTAATGGTCATGGTAAAAACCAGCAAGAAACCCAGGGGGATTTTTTTCCACCACTAAATAACAGATATACATGAATTACCATTATATTATTACTAGACAATTGGTTGAGATAGTTTAGAGTCTTTGGTATGTCTATCCATAAAATAATATTAGTTTGAGTATAATAATAGTTTTTGCTTGAAAATAAAAGAATAATTTTTTTATATCCCAAATATTTAAAATAATATTAATATTTAGAACATTTAATCCATCATTTAACAAGTCAGCATACCGAAGTTTCAATAAACTTAAAATTCATAGACAGGAGAAGAATGAACTTAGTTTGTGTAAACCCTCAAACCAAACACGCATTTGTGAACAGATTTTACATATTTTTAGGACCATTTCTATATAACAAGTTCAATAACTCACTAAAGGTATATAGTGTAAGTTATAAGTATGTAATATAACTGTAAGGGAATTTCTGAATAAATTAAATTACGAAGACACAGAGAAGTTGTTAGAAATTCTGAAATGGTTTTGTTTTACTTTTAGGTTACAAATAATTTTTATTTAGTTATTTCATTTATTATATAAGTAATATAGTTTGATTATTTAAATTGTCTTGTCTCACATTCTTAAACTCATATTATCAATTCTTAAACCCATATTACCAATGTAAGTTATGGTCTGAAACACAGGTACTCAAACTAGTTCAGGCAAGTAGCTAATATTATAAACTTGAGTTTTCAATTTTTCTTTTGTAGATATTACATTATTAAGCTACACAAAGCTCTATCTATCTATCTATCTATTTCTGAGTCACAGCATTCACTTGATATCCTTTTTTATAAAAATGACTTATCACCGACTTCGTAAACTATTAAGTGCAAATTATTTTATTATTGGACTTTTTAATTCTTTGAAGTGGGTTTTTGCTTTTGATTGAAAGTTTAATTTTACCGGTAGCGAGGCATTCCATGTTAATCCTCAGGGGTCACAAAGCATCGATTCTTAATTGATGGTAATGTAAGTGTCTATGGATCACAGTATTTAATTGCCACAAACCAGATTGAGCTCCCGTTTGCCATCAATACTTTTATAAAATATAGCTTATATACCGACGTTATATTAAGAAGCCTTTCTTCAACCGGCCCATTAGCTCAGTTGGTTAGAGCGTCGTGCTAATAACGCGAAGGTCGCGGGTTCGATCCCCTCATGGGCCAACTATTTTTATATCAAAATAAAACATTTAAGCACACTCCCAGGGCAAAAACGAAAAACATTTTTTGATGAAATCATTCCGCCTATTAGAAGTCCATTACCGAACATGTCTCATCCATAGCACACTCGGCAAGCAGGATAGCGACCGCAATTTTTATTATTTTGATAAATGCTGCTGCCCATTCTGTTGTCTCTAATGGCATCCACGGGATGATATGGATTAGTAGAATATCATACGCCACCACAACACGGTGAATTTTAATGGATTCAAGAAGTTTATCATAAGATATTACATTTAATTCGATGGCATTTAATTTTCTGGTGAGTTTTTTGGATAGCAAAGATCTTATAGTTATATGAACAGGTATAATACTTTGTTTTTTTAACATAGCGAACTCAACTAAACCTCAATGGTTTGCGCCGTGTTTAATGTGTATAACTAATTGTAGAATTTTATGGGTAATAAATCAACAAAAAATATATTTTACAGACATTTCATTCTGATGAGTCTTCGACCGCATATCAAAGTTTATTTTAAAGATTTTATCTTCCAGCATTCGAACATACGGGCATACGGCTTATTTAGGCTACCACCCTGTATTCTTTTTTCCAGTACCTAATACCAGAATTTTTGCGATAATATAAATGAAAGATAAGATAATAGGATAAAGTAAAAGCACATTTATAATAATATTATGACGAGGACATTCAATATAATGAGTTTAAAAAAGGAGTCCGCGTCAGCCGTCAGCACAAAAATGTGTTATCAACAAATGTAATATCCGTTACAAAGACGTTCAATCTGTTAAAGAGGCACCAAGATTTATTTACAAATTCAATTTATCGGAAGACACAAATTTAATTGGTTTAGGAAACTCCTTCAACTTCCGTCCGTTCAATTTTAATTCGTGATGAATTTTAAATAAGCATTCTCAAGAATCTTTTATAAAGACGAAGATTATTGGAAGCAAAGTAAGAGTCTGCGTCAGAAGTCAGAACATCTTTGTGAAAGATCTCGTGATCGGGCATTAATACTATAAATAAAACAAAATTAGACCAACCTTTGGACTCATGATCCTCGCCACATTCCCATTGGGCATCGCAACAGGAACCGCAGCTGGTAGCGGATCTTCCACCACTTCCGCCTCCCTCACGTCATGCCCTCGGCTCCTCACATCCAACCCCGGACTCCTGACTTCTCCACGACTTTTCACACCCTTCTCCCGATTTCTCACCGGCGCCGGTTCGATGCCAACAATTTCGCCCGGAATACCATCAGCGCCTACTCCACTAATACCGTTAAGATTTGGTTCCTCAACTGATCCTAGGATCTGTACGATGGCTGTTCGGAAATCCTTGTACACTTCGTCTGGATTCCGTTCTCCATTTACCTAAAGCAAATAAAAGAAATATGTAGCAATTTATTTATAATTAGTGACCCACCTTAGCTTCGTCTGGGTAGAATCTATTGTGGCGAGATTAATTTATTTTTAAATAATCATCAATGATCCTTTTTTCCTCAATTTATCGATTTTCGAAAAAAAAAAACTATAATTTTTTTGGATAAATTGTATCCTAGATCACTTTTGGCCTTGCTCACTAACTGTTAGCAATCTCGCTAACAATTAGAGAGCAAGGCCAAAAGTCAAGCATCACAACCATCCCGCGGTGTGAGTGCTCCACGCCGGAAGTGCAGTTTACACAGTTCGCAAAGCACTCCTCTTCCTGGACATCCACAAGTCGAGTGGGCCTCACGGAACGCCCCAATTGTGCTGAGGACGTGTGCTCCAGAGTTTGCACCGGTTTTAACGCGTCTTTTCCGGTACTCCTACTCCCTAGGCGTAGTCCCAAAATCATGGAAGACGGCTTTCGTCCACCCGATCCCTAAAAAAGGCGACCGCTCAGACCCGTCCAACTACCGGCCTATCGCCATCACCTCCTTGTTCTCCAAAAGAATGGAGTCCATTGTAAACTGCCATCTCATGAGGTACCTTGAGGATCACCAGCTGATTAGTGACCGCCAATACGGTTTTCGCCGTGGTCGGTCAGCTGGTGATCTTCTGGTCTACCTAACTCACAGATGGGCGGAGGCAGTAGAGTCCAAGGGGGAGGCATTGGCCGTTAGTTTGGACATTGCGAAGGCCTTCGATCGGGTTTGGCACAAAGCGCTTCTTTCGAAGCTCCCTTCCTATGGGCTTCCCGAGAAATTGTGCGATTGGATCACCAGCTTTCTTGCAAATCGCGGCATCAAGGTCGTTGTAGACGGTGCAAGCTCCGATTGCAAGCATATTAATGCTGGTGTTCCACAAGGCTACGTGCTATCGCCAACGCTGTTTCTTTTGCATATCAATGATATGTTGCAAACCCGTAACATTCATTGCTATACAGATGACAGCACTGGTGATGCTCTTTACACCGGCCGAGCCAATATTTCTCGGGAAAACGTCTCCGAGTGCCGGGACAAACTTGTGTCTGAAGTCGAGTCTTTGCTGAACAGAGTCTCGGATTGGGGGCGACTAAATCTAGTCCAGTTTAACCCCCAGAAGACACAAGTTTGGGGGTTAACCGCTAAAAAGAACCCCTTTGTCGTGTCTCCTCAGTTTCAAGGCACTCCAGTAGTAGCCAGTATCGGAATCCTCGGCGTCGACATATCGAGTGACGTGCAGTTTCGTGGTCACTTGGAAGAGAAGGCCAAATTGGCCTCTAAAAAGCTTGGCGTGCTCAGCAGAGCGGAACAGTATTTCATGCCGGCACACCGCCTGCAACTTTACAAGGCGCAGGTTCGGCCGCACATGGAATACTGTTCCCATCTCTGGGCTGGGGCTCCCCAGTACCAGCTCCTTCCACTTGACCGCATCCAGCGCAGAGCGGCTCGAATCGTCGACGACCGAGTGTTTTCCGATCGGCTCGATTCACTGGCACTGCGAAGAGATGTTGCATCTCTTTGCATTTTCTTTCGCATATACCATGGAGAGTGCTCTGAGGAATTGTTCGGATTAATCCCAGCCGCCAAATTTCGTGAACGCACTACGCGGCAAACGTCGCGATACCATCCACATCATCTGGATGCTTGGCGGTCCACCACTGTACGTTTCAAGAGGAGTTTTCTTCCGCGTACAACCTCTCTGTGGAATAGTTTACCACCAGCGATTTTTCCGGACCGTCCAGTATCCACCGATACGACCTGGGGACCTTCAAGAAAAGAGCGTACTCCTTTCTAAAGAGCCGGCAACGCACCTGCAATTCCCCTGGTGTTGCGGTTGATCATGGGCGGCGGTAGTCACTTAACATCAAGTGAGCCGCATGCTCGTTTGCCCCCTCTTCTATAAAAAAAAATCACAATCGTTTCAACCATTTCAAAAACTAGTTAGGTTAGGTAGACGCGACATTTTTTTTACAAATGGTTATTCATGTATCAATATCATGCAAATAGCGACCAAAAAAAAAAAATATATATATATATATAGATGTATAGATAGTAATAGTTAATAACAAGTAGAGTAACTGACAGTCCAGCGGATCCGACTACGGATGGAGAAGAAATGTTCTCAAGTGGCAGCCTCGTGATGGCAAGCGCAGTGTAGGCTGATACACCACTCAAGGAAGTGTCGACCAACCATGCAAGGATTCGATGGATGCACGTGACTCAGAACCTTACTATGTGGCATTCTATATGGGAGGCTTATTTATGTATTTATTTATTAAGGAAAGACTCATAAGACGTTATGGCCTCCGATAGACAGCGATATAACCATATATACCATATATACCCATAATGCCATATTGCAATTTTAATTGCAATTAACAATTTCATTGGTGTAAGCGGGAATCGAACCCGGATTGCTCGCGTACTGTGAAATTTTCAGCGAGCGCTTAGCCAGCTCAGGAGCTACCACGGCTCACGGCACGTAAACGTATACATCTAATGCTGCGGAACGGAATGGAAGCGTTTTTAATGTAACGATATGTTTCATAGTAAAATGAGTCTTACGTTAATTGTGTAACGCGAAAACTAGATATGAGCCAAAAAAGAAGTTGCGCTTCTTCCGGGGAATTCTCGAGAATTTCCGTAGCTACTGTCTACGAAGTCTGGAATTCGCGGGAGATGGCGCGAAGGGTGTGGAATCTAGACTAACTTTTCTACAGCCCCAAAGCGGTTGTTGAATAGCCCCAAGGCGAAGTCGTGCGTGTCTTCCCGTGCGTCGCGGCGAAATTGACGCTTCCGTTCCATTCCATTCCGCCGCAATGTAAATTGAGCCTTTGGAGCATATTATGTGTGCTTTCAGCAGTGAGCTTTTACCGGCTGATAAAGATAGAAAGAAGAAAGATGTGTGTCCAGAAGTTGAGCATGTTTCGGCGGCACTTGTAATGAAACATACTTCCTTTGTTGTTGGTCTGACGCAAACATTTTGTAATGCATTTATTATGTTAGAAACCTTCCGTTTGATTTGTCACCACTTTACAAACACACATTTTCACTGCGTTGTTTAAATTACGTTAAAAGAAACTGAATTTCAGTGATTGCATCTTTAAGCTAAAAATAATTGGGTAACGAGCCCTCAGTAATTTTTAAGACGCTTCAAAATCTAGGCATCAGCATACAAATACAACATACAAAATGTTGTGAAATGATGTGCATTATATTGTGCAACAGTACTTATGATCATATTAATGATTAGAAAATTTATTCTACGAAAAAACAAATAAATTGCTATATTTGTAGCAATTTCTTCAATTTTTTTTTATTATATGCTACTTTTATCAGAAAATTAGTAAACAGAATATTATCGTGTTGGGCCATATCCATTTATACGTAGTTGAGGTTTTAAAAAAAACTAGTTTGTTATATTTTTATTTACGCATTATAAGAAAAATAATGATAAATGTAATTATAATCAACTTATTTGTAATGGCCACTGCTGCAGTCCATCACCCGCAGCTAAAAGCTAAAATTACGTTGTTAACCACGAACAATAAGGTTCATTTGGCCTCTTACACGTATTTCGTGTACTGCTACATATTGCCTGGAGCTCTCTTTGTAGGAAATGCAGGTGCAGGACAGTAGTAGCCACTTACTATCAGGTTAGACTGTTAGATCACTTATTTCTTAAGTGTTATTAGAAAAAAATATGTGTTCACATCATACGGGGTAGAAGAAGAACCTTCAGGAAATTGCTTTGTAATAGAGCAAAATCTATAGGTAAAGTCATTTTATCGAACAAAAATTGATTATCTCTCAAGGTGGTACGTAAAATAGACGCTAGATGGCCTAAACATGACTAATTAAATATAAATTCCGTAAGTTAGGAAATTGTGGATTGTTATGAATGAATTGATTATAACAATTTTTTCAATACGGTTAATTTTAGTTATTTAACAAATTTGTTAATTTTTAACTGCTTATATTAACAATTTAAAGTTAGAGAAGACCGAGAATTATCTCACTAAAAAAGAGACAAACATATACATCCATATGTATAACTATAATTTGTATACTACCTCGTTATCTCGCAGGCTAAATCCTATATATCGGTAAAAAGTTTTCATATACACATACACACATACACATATATATATATATATATATATATATATATATATATATATATATATATATATATATATATTACTGCTATTTGCCTCTAAAGAAGTTTTCACTTCTATAAAAAAAAAACCTGCGATTAGGCTGCTCTCGCTTACTCGTATTTCATTTCATTATCTCGCAGGGTAAATCCTATGGATGTATATGTTTGTCTCTTTTTAGTGTCGCTTTTTCGTTTCATCGATTTTCAAATCTGAACGATTCTAAAAAAGTTTTCATTTTAAAAATCCAACGGTATATTAGCGATATATTACCGCAATGACGAATTGAAGACGAGACTACAGACTTAGAAAAATAAGTATTTAGATTTAAATGCCATTAATATTTTAATCTTACTTTCTCGGTGCTATCCTTCAAGAAAAAACGTTGTTTGTTGAAGCCGTTGAAAATCGTCTTAAATAATAAAAATCTTAATTAACACTAAATAATGTTGTATAAGGAAACCAATATTCGAGTCAGCCGCACGCCATCTGGCCATCGAGGAGAAAATTCAAAAATTCATACGTTTCTTTCCAACTGATGACTGTTCGAAGCACCTTCATTTACTTTATTAATTCATCAACGAAACGTGGCAGCTGGCTTTTTAGTAATTCGGCCAGTTTCGTTTCTGTAGTTTGTAATTTCGTGACACACTTGAAATTTATATGAGTTCAGTCTACAACTGTAATCAAACATTGGGACATGATTCGATATTATAAATTTTATAGGTAACTTGTACTTTAATTTGCCGTAGGAAGTAATGTTACTCAATACATTTATAACAGGGTGTAAACTAGATTGTAGCTTACTCTATATTAACTAGAAAGAAATTTTAATGTACGCTCCATGTAACTGGGCGTATTTTTATTTTTTTGTACCATGCCTTTTTTCACCTGTCACCTCATTTGTGCTATTTTTCTTTTGGTGATCATTATCAATATTCATGATGTGAATAAAAAATAAAGATTAGTGTGTATTTTTGTTTTTAAATATGATTTTCATTTTGAGGTTTTCTTTAAATTGTATTTTTTATGATTTTCTGAAAGTATTCGTATGTATGAAAATGTGATGTAACTCACTAAGTACAGTGGTTTAATCTTTACATAACATCACCGTTTGCCGCCAAAACTTTGAATTTTAACTGACTCCAAAGGCAGTTGTATATTTCTGAACGTTCAAAATGCCTTACACGAAAATATCAACCATAATCAATGCATTATAAGAGTTTATTTCTCGTAACTCAAAATGGATCTAAGTGGAAAGTTCCTACTGAGTTACGTTAATTTAAACCATATTTTTTATTTTTTACCGGTTGTAAATATATTTTACAATTTGGCAACAAGAACTCAAAGCGTCATAACTGTCAGCCATTTTGCAAACCGTGACGAGACGCTAAATAAGTGTGGATGTTAGTTTGGTGCAGAAGAGATTTTCCGCTGATTAACGGGAATATTCAAGGCAAAATCAAGGTAAGAATAATTACTTAAGTGTTTTTGTGTTATATTTTAGAAAGCTCAAGGTTTAAACTCTAAATATATCATAAAGTTTATGCAAAGGCACAAATAATAACCTGTGAAATCATTTTTGTATTATCACTCACATAGATTGAGTTACGTCGGCTGAGAAACATTTCACTCATTGGAATGAATTTGTAACTCAGTGGAAGGTAAAGGCGTGTTTAAATTGTAAATTGATTAGCGACCCACCCCGGCTTCGCACGGGAGTTGTAATTTTATATTGAAACAAAAAATTTATATGTTAGAGTTACATAGACGTAGTGTAAGGTTTTAAGCCCATATAGCGGACATTCCCCGTTTTTCTTATTTTAAGCGTTTATACCCGTCGTAACTTCTTAATGAAAGGTCCAATTTGAAATAAAATAAAATTAATTTAAAACAAAATGAACATATGTACTTACATGATCATCCTTGACTGTGATTTTATGTAAGTATAACCAATAGTTTTTGCAGCGCACGTCAAACAATTATTTTTTTAAATAATATTTTGATACCCTAATATATTAAGTAATTAGCCTACGCTACTCGCTAAAACTTTGTCTTTTTATATATGTAAGAGTTAATTAAATTGGTTTACATAATTAAAAAAAAAACAGATAAATAATCAGATCTTAGACTAGTAGCATAGCATATTAGTTCAGATTTTAGACTAATAACATTCATAACTACTACTTGGTAGGTTTTTTATTTTTCACATCTGTTTAGTTTTCAAGCGATTTTAATAAAACCAAAGGAGAGGTTTATAAATAACAATTTTTTATTAAAAATCACTATAAAAAATAATAAAGAATTAAATTGTACATAGTAAAATAAAGTTACAGTAAAAATGTTATAAAAATAAATTCAAATGTTTGAGGCGATTTAGACCAATTTCACCCAACCGCATAGCAGAAAATTTTGATATTATTATTTGGAAATGGTGAAGGAAGGTTTTTGCCCAGATATGTTCGATAGGCGAGTGTAGAAGCTTCGGGAGGTAGTTAGGTAGGTTATTTTTATTATTTTAAGCCCACGGCTTCGCACGAGTTAAATTATAAATAAAAACCTTCCTCTTGAATTACTCTATCTATTAAAAAAATCCGTTGCGTAGTTTTAAAGATCGAAGCATACATACATACATAGGGACAGACGCGGGAAGCGACTTTGCTTTATACTATGTAGTGATAACTCAATATTAAAATACTATTTTGTTTTAGGATACTTAAAGTACAATATAAAATAATGCCGTTGACACCCGCTGAACGTATGAGGAAATATAGGGAAAAATTAAAAAATGATCCTGAAAAATATGAGGCTAAGAAAAAAAAACATGCAGAATATGTTAGGTCCAAAAATAAGAAAGTAAGTGAATTATCGGATGAAGAGAAAGAAAGAAAACGAAAAGTATGGAGAGAACAAAAACGCCATCAAAAACAAAAAAAGAAGGATTTTCGTGCAGAAGACACTGTAAATGAAGAAGTAACAACACGCAGTAAAGAAGAAACTTCGACAAAGAAACGCTATAATAACGCTGTAGTTAAGAAGTACAATGCGGCGTTGAAACGGATACGTGCATTGACAAAGATAGTGAACAGATATAAACAAAAACTGCACAGGCAAAAGAAAGAGACCGATGAAAAGATTCATAAATTAGAAAATAGTTTAGAAATAGTCAAAGCAAGAAACGAATTCATGGAAAGTACCATAAAGACCACTTACGCCAAATTTCAATCACAAAAGGAGAAGAAAATTTTCAAAGAGATGGTAGTAAGCGATGAAGTACAAGCAGCTAGAAAGAAAACTTATGTGGCTAATATATTGGGACTTGAGGGGAAAATAAGATTATCTCAGAGGAAGCAGAAAGATGACAGTATCAAAAAAAGAGATTGAGAGATTTTATGTTAGAGATGATATAACTCGAATAACAGCAGGGAAAAGAGAATGTCGGACACTTGGGAAAACTACAAAACAAATACGCTATCTAACTGATACATTACTGAATTTATATAACATATACAGAGAAGAAGGAGGTAAACGGAGTTTTTCTACATTTTACAAATATAAACCCTTTTATGTTGTGACCCCAAATATTCAAAACAGAGAAACATGTTTATGCATAAAGCATAACAACACCGAAATGATGTTGTATGCATTAAAGAAAAACTTCTAAGTCTTTTTTTATCCAAGTATGAACGACGTCTTGAAAGAATTGTGCTGTGATTTAAAATCAGAAAAATGTATTATGGGTAATTGTCCAAAGTGTAATGGATGTAAATTGAAGTACAGTTTAGAGCCAGGTAAAGCAGAGTCACAAACAGAGTGGTATCAATGGGAGAGAGTGAACCACGAATACCAGAAAACTGAAAAAGGTATTAAAAAAACTTTTGTAACCAGAAAGACTGCAAAATTGAGAAAGAGCGCGACCGTAGCTGAACTTATGGATATGTTCGAGAAAAATATTCCTGTTTTTAAGAAACATTATTTCATTTGGCTACATCAACATAGACAATATCAAATCTGCATACAGAACTTAAAACCGAACGAAATATTAATTGTTTGCTATTTTTCGGAAAATTATCTTTGTAAGCTCTCCGAAGAAATTCAGGCAACACATTTTGGAGCATCGAAGAATCAAATAACTCTTCACACTGGAATGGTTTACATGGGGAACAAAGAAGCAAAGTCTTTTTGTACTATTTCCGATAATAACTCTCATGAGCCTCCGGCAATTTGGGCTCATTTAATACCGGTGCTGAGATATGTAAAAGAAATGATGTCTGAGACGAAGGTAGTCCATGTATATTCCGATGGACCCACGTCTCAGTACAGACAAAAAAAGAACTTTTTTCTTTTGAATTTACTTACCAAACGGATGGGATTTGAATATTCTACCTGGTCTTTCACTGAAGCGGGCCACGGAAAAGGGGTGGCAGACGGAATTGGTGGATCTACAAAAAGAGCATTAGATCGTCAAGTGGCTTTTGGTAAAGACGTAACAAATGGCTCAGAAGCTTATGATATACTGAATAACTGTATGGTATCTGTGAAATGCTGGCTGATATCAAATTCCGATATTGAAAATATAACTAAAATTGTTCCTGACAATCTGACTCCCTTAGTTGGTACTATGCAAATACACCAAATAATTTCCAGTTCTGCTGGGCAAATTCAGTACAGGAATTTGTCTTGCTTTTGCGGAGTCAAAAGAGGACTCTGCAATTGTTACTCCTTGAAAACCCACATCTTTAAAGAAAAGGTTAAGAAAAATATTAAGGAAAATAGCACAGAAGAAGTTGATTTAAATGTAACTGACTGATCTACAAAACATTCAAGATGAGCTTCAACAACAAAAAGTGACTTATAATTTACCAGATACTCAAGATTCAAAACAATGTTTTCATGAAGAACAGGTTTTATTTTTTACTTCGAATATATTATTCATCTTACACACAATTAGCTCTGTGTTATCACACAAAAACTATTCTGCTTTACCTATATTTCATATTTTCCAGATTGATGAGGACATTGAAAAAGACCGCCTAGAAAAGCAACCATTAATGGAAATTGATCTAAACATCCAAGATAGTACAGATTTAAACATCGAGCCAATGCCTTTGCCCATATCTGTTGAAAACAAAGTAAACCAGTCAAATGTTGAAATTGAAATGATTGATTTAAGCGAGGACAACACTCAGCAAAAAGTAAGTAGATGATAATTTTAAAATACTCAAAGTATGTAAAAATATATTTTAATTAATTAAACGTATAACATAATTATACGTACATTAATTAGTTTTACCCACAATAATATTGTATCAATTTCATTTCAGGTTATAAGTGAACACATCGAAAACGATATTTTTAAAAAACGAACATTAAATTTAATGGAAATGAATGACGACAATAGCAGGCTAACTAAAAAAGTCAAATTTGACACAAGTTCACAGGCAAAAGGCAAATTTCTGTCCATTAGAACAGTAGTCACACGTTCTATAACATGCCGTAAATGTACAGAACAAAAACCGTTTCAATGTTCTAGAAAATGTATGTGCTGTTCAGCCTGGTACTGCAGGCAGTGTGCTGGGATAGAAGCAAATCATTAGTTTTTCTTAAGAGGGCTTACGCGTGTCGGCATTTCATTCGAATTTTCGAGTCCTTATTCTTCGATTTTATGAACCGATTTTAATGAAACTTGTTATGGATACACTTCAAAGCCTGGTCTAAATAGTTAGTAGAGAACATTTTCGAAAAAGAGTTCAGGGGAAAAGATAGAGTGATTTTTGACTTTCTATAGAAAACATAAAATTGTCCTCACTCTTCATCTAAACTCTTTTTTCGAAAATGTTCTATACGAACTATTTAGACCTGGCTCAGAAGCGTATGTATACCAAGTTTCATTAAAATCGATTCATAAACATCGAAGAATAAGAACTTGAAAATTTGTATGAA